CCTAAAAATAAGATTAATTAGGCATCATTTACTTTCAGCTATTCATCTACCTGCTATTCATTTACATATTAATAGGAAATTTACTTTCTCCTTTGGGCTCCCACATCTGGGTTCATCATCTTCTATTATAAACTGCACAGCAATATTAAATTGTATAATGAGTATTTGAGTTCTAGGGGCAAACTGTGTCATTAAATGTTGTAGTGTGACTCTCACCAAACATTTGATGGCAATAAACCAAATAGCCCCGCCCACCTCATGACCCACCTTAACTTTTGATACACACTCTTACATATATGCAGCTATATATAACAACCTGCTACACGTCTCCCATTCAACAGTCACAGACCAATAATATCATATTATGATTCTTGATGGCCAGAGCTCGTTTAAGTCCCCGGCTTTAAAACTGTAAATGAGTGAAAGATTACTGGTAAGCCTACTTTAAACAGCAGGAAGCCTCCAAGGCTGAGATTACACTCCTTTGCTTCCTCTGAAAACATCCATTTGCTTAAAGGTTAATCTCACACAAATGGAAGAGATAAGCATGTGTTATATTATCATGCTAGAGGAGTCTTATGATGAGTATAAAATAAGATGAAACAACAAACCGATGGAATGTGCTAACAGGTGTATGTGTTTTTCAAGTTTTGGCAAAAGTCTTTGCACATTTCCTGCTAATTTCTTTTATCTCTCCGGGTATATACAACAGATGATATATACCAGGGGAGCTAATAGGGATACTACTTTATACATGAAAGGACCCTTAAAGAATATTCACCCTCTCAGAAATGCCAGTGATCTCGTTGTTGGAGTTGGAGTGAGCAGAGTGCAGTGAAGCACATTTGGATCACTGTAAAACCTTTAACATCTGGAAACGCACCTGTTTCTTTCTGCCTGGATTATCAATTTTTATAAAGATTCCTATCTGTTTAATGCCTGGTGACACTGTTTGTAGCCCACAACTGAAATGCCACCGACTGTACCTTTCCTGCAGGTCTCACACATTAATGGCATCATTGCGTTTGAGTTTACTGCAAGCCAGCTTTCAATAAAAGCTTTTAGATCACAAAAGAGGTTAGAAGGTGTTAGAATACACAGCATTCATTTACAGTACATATCAAGTCGCACGTTTATGTTCATCAATCACGTTAATATTTCACACAGTCACAAACATGATCAATTCGAAACATTTATCGGGTTACTAGCATCCCATCTAGGGTTAGGGTCAAGGTCGTTTCCCTTTCCCTGATGATGTCTCATACATTAATGTCAACATTAATATTGTTCTGTTAAACGCTTTGACCTCTGGCGTCCCAAAAAGATGAAAATTTTAACAAAAAAAGAGGTGGATGTTTGCCTAACCCTACCCTAGATGCGGGTGAGCTGTTGGATGCTACGAGGTTAACATCAGCACTCTCAACAGCTGTTCTCATCCTTCACAGATACTCACTGTCTGCTGCAGGTCAGGGATCAAGACACGGATAACCAGCGAGTTTGTGTGAATGTCGTCCATGCGGTTCTGCGATGGCTCTGCAGTGGCCCTTATGGTCTCATAGATGGTTTCTTCACGGGAGCTCTCGGAGGCACAATCATCAGAGTAGTCGGAAAAGCTCTGGGCCATCTCATCCTCACTGGAGGTGGAGCTTTGGGGCATAGTCAGCAGGCCCGGGGAATTCAGCTGGGACAGAGAAGCAAACAGGAAATAATATCAGGCTCTTGCAAAGAGCTGATTAAAGAAACTAGATATTCAAATTGAATAATCTCCTCCTGTTCCCATCAGACACCTTCTGTCATTTCAGACAGCCGTCAAAGACCACGCA